CCCCTACCTTCTCAAGTTGTGTCCACTCAAAAGGCAGGATGAGCAAAACACTGACTTCACAAGTGTATGTGTATTTGTTGCACTCTGCATTGGTATTTAGTTCACTGAGTGGCAGTTTATACACCAAGAGAACACATGTTTCATGCTAGTGAAGATCCCCTAAAAATGTTGAGAGGCATGTCACTGCGGGGCACATTTCTAAATTTAAATACCATTTTCCAGTCAGTTTATACTCCTTTTTAAAAAAAATAAAAAAACATTCTCAGCCAAGGCTCCCTTCATTCCATGTAGATCAAGCAGAAGAATTATAAAAGCACACAAAGCATAGTTTTTGGATTCTAGCATCAGGGCTGCCATCAGGGCATGACAACCATGACCACGTGTATCAGCGGAACTGCCGCCGGTGCATCTGCGGGGCCCAGCATTTAGGGCCACCCAATGGGCCCTATTATCTTCAGGGGCCCGGTCAGCGCTGTAATAAAATGCAGCCGGAAGCAAGTGGGAAGGAGGAGAGAGAGGCCGTGAGGAGAGGCAGCTGACTCACATCATCCCCAGCCACCCTGCGACGAAATGGTAAGGAAGAGAGGAGGGTGGCTGAAAATGAGGTGTGTGTGTATGCCAGTGCATGTATGCCAGTGTATGTGTGCAGGTATGCCAGTGTATCTGTGTGTGTATGCCAGTGCATGTATGCCAGTGTATCTGTGTATGTATGCCAGTGTATCTGTGTGTGTATGCCAGTGCATGTATGCCAGTGTATCTGTGTATGTTTGCCAGTGTATGTGTGTATGTATGCCAGTGTATGTGTGTGTGGATGCCAGTGTATGTGTGTGTGTATGCCAGTGTGTGTATGCCAGTGTATATGCATGTATGCCAGTGCATGTATGCCAGTGCATCTGTGTATGTTTGCCAGTGTATGTGTGTATGTATGCCAGTGTATGTGTGTGTATGCCAGTGTATGTGTATGCCAGTGTATATGCATGTATGCCAGTGCATGTATGCCAGTGCATCTGTGTATGTATGCGTGTGTATGTATGCCAGTGTATATATAGAAATGTATTACCATTTGTACAGATGGATACAAAACAAAGCTGTCTATAAATCTTCCAAAACGCTATTTATCTGACTGCAACTGATGGACATTATTTTTTAAAATTATGTTATATTTGTATTCCTGGACCCAGCAGCTGATATACCAAAGTGCCGAGATGCCATGTCCATTGTTTAACTGCTGACTATTACAAATAAATAGCGGGCAACATTTTCAGGTTTTGGTAACTTTTTTTTGTTTCATTGGGAATTCTTTAGAAAATCTATTTTTAAAACTGTCTGTTTTGGCCCAAATTTTTTAATCATTTGGTCAGTCCCCCACCAATTTCCAGTTTGGTGAATAATCTTATTTTAGCAGCGATAAAATAAGATTGTAGAACAATTTAGTATAGAATTGAAGAGTCTCGGTTAGTTTTTTTGTGTGTTATTTCTTGTTTTCCATGTTTAGCCACTAAACTTTTATTTTTGCTTTTTAATTTTTTAATTTTACATTTTTTTTTAATGCTGCTACAGCGTATTTGTGATTAACATTAAATAACAACACTTGTTATAAATCTAGTAAGAAGTCTTTCAGTATATTCACTTGCTTGCAGCGGTAACATTAATCTTCTAAAGTGATAATATCTAAGGTCAAACAGCCTCTATATAGGTGTAATGAATTAATGCCTACATTTTCAACCTGTGCATTGTGCAAGACTTGAATCTCAAGAGGAAAGGAAACCACTTAAACTTGGAGATGTCATCTAAAAGTGACGTACATAAACACATCTTGTCTCTTTATTTGAATACATCTCTTAAAAATCCCTACTCTGTCTTTGTAACTTTGCATAATTTGAGTGTTCTATTTTTCCACTTGTTTTTTTTTTCACCCATGCTATAAGGGTATAGATAATATAAAATATAAATCTGCCATTTTTCCATTTTCGATGCTTGAATTCTATTATCCATATATCTAGGTTAATGTGAAAGCAAACATGATAAAACCTGTTCTGTTAATAGTTCATTTAGCAATTACTCATTTTCATTAGTTCCGTTGCGCTGGTCTTGCAATATCTCTCATTAGGGATATGGACATTTTGAATGCACAGACTAATATTATATAACACTAATAAAGAAAGAAAAGACATTTCAAAAGGTTTCTAAATAGGTTAATAGGTTCACACTGGGCATCAGGACACAACTAAGTGCACAGATTTAATTAAATGCTGGGTTTTGTTTTTTAAAGTAAGTTTAATAATGTATGAGTTCGTAGCAAGATTATTTATTTTATATCACTAGATATAGTAATATAATATATAGATATACACACTGAATGCATTCTGTTGTAAAGCGGGATAAATGGGATATATCATATTTATGATTAACATATGATGCAGAATATTTTTTAATAATTATTACATTTATTAAAAAGCGATGAAAGGGTTAAAAATCTGTAAACGTTAAGAAACCTTGCCATGCATAGGGAAACATACATAAGACATTTATTTGTGTAATTAGCCAGTTTTTGGTACTGGTTTCTAGATTAAGATTAATTAATTCTCAGCACTATGCAGAAACAATAGTACACCCAAGATTCCAGCGACTCCTCTTATGCGTCTCACTCCCTCTAGGGTTGATGTTTTATTTAGGACAACACAGACCTTTTAGATGGACCAGAGAAGTTAAAATAAATAAAATTAAAAATAAAAATAAAAATGAAGGAGTAAAGAAAGAAGCAGCAGTTATGATTCGTACATTATCACATGCATTAGGTGTTAGTTATCAAAGCCAATACTCACATCTAGGAAGATAGACATGCCTTTAGTTAGGTGTGCAGATGAGCACAGTTCTTCTGAAGAATCGGTCCTTGAGGGAGAGGACATCTCTTGGACATCCATGGCTTGAGACTGAACTGGCAAAGATTGCCTATACTGTATAGTGCTAAGGACTGGGATCCCAGTTAACGTTCTATGTTCTGAGTATCACAGGTTGACTAGCTTGTGGTGCTGATACTCAGCAGCAATCTGCTTTTTGCTGAGCCTCCTTCAATTTCCTTGAGTCCCTCCCAAGTGTTATCTTCCTCCAGATAAATACCTCACAAACTCCCCCTTTTTCCAAATCTCATTAGAAACCTCACTATCTCATCTATACTTTGGGATTATGCTACATACTGGGACACATTTTATACTGATGCGAAAAGCAATCATTCGGTCTGTGTGTTGTTACATTTGTACAAATATTACATCCTAACGCAGAATCTTCAAGCTTACTTTGCGAAGTTATAAGTGCTCTATTGCCATCTAGCGGTTCTAATAAATATTGCAAATGAAAAACATAAGCTAGTAAATCATGGAATTAGGAGTACATGTATATGATTATTTAGGTGTCCGATAGACCACAAATTACAATTTCATGTTTATTTATTTATTTTTTAGCTTCTCTTTGCATTATGCGACATTGAAGCACTTCCAAACAGGGACGGACTGACAGTGGTCTGGGCCCCCGGGCAAAATTAAGACCTGGGCACCCTGTAGACCAATATATATGTTGTTGTAGATGTATGTTTCTGTGTGCATATTCACTGTGAGTCCTGGTGTAAGTCTTTAGCGTATAGTTAAATACATGTTGTTTTTTCTTTTTAAATAGGGTAGTATTTTTTATGTGTGTTTATGTAGCATGGCAATATGTATAAAAGGGTATGCAGGCTTCCAAATTTTGCATCTTGAATTACAAACCAGGTGTTAACCGTTACGAGGAACACTATAGTGTCAAAAAATAGACACGTGTATTCCTGACACTATAGGTTTAAAAATAGACGTTTAGGTCCCAGCCTCCTGTTAAATACTGGGTGTTCTCCTTGGCTGAGATAATCAAATTAGATATCAGACAATCCAATACTTTCCCATAGGAAAGCATTGGTAGGCTATTGCACATGCGCAGCAAAATGCCATGCTGCACCATTCAGCATCTCTTCATAGTGATGCATTGAACCAATAGTTTGCATGTGTTGTTGTGGATAAATAACCCAAAGTATGTTCAAGAGAAACTAGATTGTTGTAACAAGTGCTCGGAGAAGCAATAACACACACACACGGTTTGTGAATCAAAGATCGCTTCTGCTTTAATTGGGAGAGCTTACAGATTATATAGAAAAATAGCTACATGCAAAAAGAAATGCAGAACTAGCCATATTTACGAAGTTCAAACCACACCATTACTGGAAACTCTCTTCATAACGAGAAAAAGGGAGGGGCGAGGGCAGCTGCAAAGTTTTGCTGAAAGCTGCCGTGAGTCATAACAGATAAGGGGGAAAATGTGTGTGTACGTGAAAACAGCTAAACTAGGGTCATCTTCACATATAAGTTACCCTAGTTTAGCTGTTTTCACGTATCATGATCCAAGTTAGACAATTTTAAACAGACTGGACATCTAGTCATCTGTAGCTTCAGCCTTGGGTCAGAGGTGCCTTCCTTCACAATTCCCCTCTTTTGACCCCAAGGTTCATCCAGGTGTCTGAGGTATGTCCAGATGTGCTAGTCCCACCTGTGGGCCTTTTTTATAGCCTTTTTTATATCTTCTCCATGGTTCCCTCAGACAGGGCGAGCCAGGGGTCATCAGAGGAATGTTTCTTCATAAGTTACACAGCGCTATAGGTGTCAGAGGTAAGGGAAGCTGACATCGAAGTTAAGGTTCGACCAACATGAGGTTGTGATTTACACAAGGATGATAGAAGATGGGAGAAGAGCTTTAAAAGTAAGAAAGATAAACATAACAACAAATACTGCAAAAAGCAAAAAATATAATATTTTTTTTGATAAGCAGGTGTGACGGACCGCCTGGCACTCTGACCTAGTACGAGTGCCAGGAGCCAATCGATGCTCCTAGTGCTTTCCGAGGACTCCAAGAACTCCACCAGACACCATAAGCACTGTAGACCCCACGAACCGCCGCATCTTGGTTGGGGTCTCGCCGTCCTCCATCCACCCTGGACCCAAGACCAGGATCCAGCTCCCAGTGGGTAGACCTCTCCTCCTCCAGAGAGCGTAGCAGGAACAGCTCTTAGAAGACCTAGTGATTATACTTAGTGGAGTATAGTGATTAATCCCCAGAGTGTAGTTCCCCAATCCCCCAAACACGAGCCAAGACCTAATGAAGGGGTGAAGCAGGTATGTTTAATGCAAGCCAGCACTTATACATACATTTAAATCCCCAACAGCCTCATTTACATACAATAGGTTACATAGAGCACTATAGTACAAGGAAGGGTGGGGTCAGACAATAGCAAGGGCTGATGGGAGATTGAGGAGGGACAAAGCAGCTAGTTTAAACTGGTCTGGCAGTGTCCCTGGGACAACGCCCTGCTGGGGAAACAATGGGACAGGAAAAAGGGAGAGGGGAAGAGGCACAGACAAGCAATACATTCAACATACTCCTCCTCTGTGTCTGAGAGATAATTAATTATCTCCAGGTACAGAAAAACAATTTACAAACACCCCAAAAGTACCCTCAAGATCCATGGAAACCCCACAAGAGTCACAACATTGGATAGCCCTGATCTGGGTGACCAACATATCCAAAAAATCACCCAGATCGGTTCAGTGGTTTGGTTTTTTTCATGGAAGTCACTTTTTAACATATCTTTTTGCTAGGCCCATAATCCTGGGGCAAGAGACTGGCAAGCAGGCCCCTCCAAGTACCAGTGGTGAGGTTACTTTCGCCACAGCAGGCTTAGCCATGTACCCAATCCAAAGGTCCAATCCCATTCCCCAAAGAACCCAGTATCTTGCTTTATGTCATTTACTAGGTTATGCAGGTCTTGTATGTGTTCATGGATCATGATAGTCTATAGCTGCTCTGTTTTCAAGGATTGTTTCTTATTAGCTTGGGTATCCATTAGAAGCTCTTCTAAGGCCTGGGAGGTTGCATTTAAAACTTTAGCAAGGGAGCAGTCAAGGGTATTTATAACTCTAGCATTGTATACTTCTAGTCCAGGGACCCCTAACAGAAAAACTGCCAAAGCGGTATACTCAGCTTTAGATAAGAGAGTAAATTTAGGGTCACAACCTGTGGTAAGAGTATATTTTACATTTTAACTGGGTGGTTTCAGATGCTAGGTCAGATTTAGAAAACATAGCCATGGTTAGACGTGAGATTGCACATGGGCCTCCTGTGGTATTACCTGGGACATAAGCATAAGCAATATTCCCACCGGAAAGAGTCCATTCGATTGGCAGACGGACATGGTAATGGTAACTTACTACTTGGACAGTTTTGTTGCAGACCAAGGAGGTGTTAAAAGGTCTACAGGCTGTTAGGGGTCTTTGGGGGAGACAGAATCTAGCTGGAGTACTACTTTGGTTATCAGCCTGGCAGTTGCAAGTAAGTATCTTACATTGAGAGTTTTTAGGGCCTAGGAGAGTTTAATAGGAGGTGGTGGTCCTTTGGACCAATTATACCAGGCAGGTGGCTCCTGGGCATACATGTAAATTTCCTCATAATTTCGCGGCATATTCTATGGGCCCCCACTATTCTTACCACCCTTCCCGTAGGCTACAGCCTTAGAGTAGGGTACTCTCCTCCGTATATGGGATCCCATGCTTTGTACAGATAACATTTTAATACTGGCAGGGGAGTCTGGACTGCTATCAGACAGGATTCTATAGAGTTTTTGGTGCTGTGCAGGGGGGTAAGGCAAAAAGAGGTTAGGCTAAAAGCCTCCGCTATCTGCATCCATATTTTCAGTTGGTGCGACTAGTTTACAGTGGCTGGCGTGTATCCAAGTTGGCTTTCCCTCTAGCTTCACTGAGGTAGCTGTAGTCAGGAGCACTTGGAATGGACCGTCAAATTTTGGATCAAGTCCTTTTCTCACGTGCCTCTTTATCACAACCCACGTGGGCAGTTGAACAGGAATCCGGATCTGGAATAGAGTCAAATACTTGTTTATGTACTTGCCCTAACCTTTCATGAATAGCCTGGACATAGGAGGTCATGTTACTATGTTGTAATTGGAGTGTCTGGTGGAAATAGAGAATTTCAAATAGAGAACAGAATTTCAAAGTAAGGCAAACAATTTCTAGGACGGGGGTGAATCTCATGGAGAAGAGCGCTAGGGGAAGACATTCAGTCCAGGGTTTCCCTGTCTCTTGCATGGCCTTGGCAATTTTAGTTTTTTGGAGTGCCATATGCCCTTTCTACTTTCCCACAACTCTAGGGGTGGTAAGGAGTGTGAAAGGCCTGACTGAGTCCTAGTGCCTTCATTATTTCTTGCAATCTCTCCCCAGTGAAATGGCTACCTCTGTCACTTTCAATCCCTTCAGGTACCCATATCTACATACCAGTTCCTTTAGAAGCTTACTTGCTGTGACTTTTGCTGTGGCTTTCGACATTGGGTAGGCCTCAGGCAAACCTGAAAAGAGATCAATGCACACCAACACATATTCATACACTCCTACCTTAGACAGTTGAATATAGTCTATCTGCAGTCGCTGAAACGGTGGCTTTGGTCTGTGTTTACCTGGTATTTTGACAGCCTGTCCAGGGTTGTTTTTAGCACACATCATGCAAGCCTGGGTGTGCTTAGCTGCTACAACAGAAAACCCAGGTGCCACCCAATGGGTGTGTACTATGCAGTTTATGTTCATTTTGGACAAATGGGTTGGTCCATGGGCCATCTGGGCCATCTGGGTCATCATAGGGTATAGAACTCGTGGTAAACATAGTCTTTTACCTTTTCTCCACATCTTGTCATTATCAGGTTCTGCATCTTGTTTTCTTCAGAGATCTTGTTCTTCTTTGCTTGCTTTCTTCTGTAGGCTCAATAATATATTGTAGTCAACAGTCTCATCTGGAAGGACAACCTGTAGGAAGGTTTTACCTGAGAGTGTGCAAGGATAAGGTTGAATTGCTGCTTGCTTGGCAGCTTCGTCTGCTTTTTGGTTTCCTCTTGTAATATCATCTGTGATATTCACGTGAGCTGCCACCTTGATGACGCCTACTTGGGTGGGTAGCAGGATAGCGTCCACAAAGGCATTCACGGCTTCAGAGTTCTTGATTGGAGTTTCTGCTGAGGGGAGAAAATCACGAGCCGGCCATATAGGCCCAGTATCATGGGCTATACCGAAGGCATAGCGAGAGTCTGTGTAAATATTAGCTGTCTTACCAGAGGCCAGTTTGCATGCTTCAGCAAGTGCCTTCAGCTCAGCCTCCTGTGCAGAGCAGTGAGGGGCGAGTGGTTCAGCTTTAATTACCTCATGTGCAGAGACGACAGCATATCCAGTATGGAAGTTACCCTTCTCGTCGGCAAATCAAGAACCATCTACAAAAACGTCTGGATTAGACAATGGAGACTCAATTACATGTGAAAAACCTGCTGTCTCTTGTGCCATTAATGCTGCACAATCATGGGGTACCTGGGCTTCAGCTAACTCGTCTGGTGACAGGGAATTTACAAAAAGATCAGAACTACAATCACCACTCCCCTCTTTTAAATCCATGGGGAGGAATGTAGATGGATTTAACACCATACACCTTTTCAAAGTTAAGTTTGGAGACATGAGTAGAGCACACTGCATCCTGCGATGCCTTGTAGTATGTATGTGTTTTGGCTGAACTTGTGACAGAATGCTTTTAATGTTATGCGGGGTGTAACTGGTGACAGGATTGTCTAAGACAATGTCGGTGGCTTTGTCCATTAGGGCAGTAACAGTAGCTACTGCTCTTACACAGGACGGCCACCTCTGGCTACAGGATCTAGCCTGGTAGAGTAGTATGCAATAAGCCTTTGTTTCCCACCGTGGTTCTGCGTAAGGATAGCTGTTGCATAAGCAGCCTGCTTGGTGCAAAACAGGGTAAAGATTTTTCTGTAATCTGGGAGATCCAGCGCTGGAGCTGAGGTAACAAGCAACTTTTTATATATTTTTTTTCAGACTTGCACCAGCCCTTTGTGCATGGAGTACACTTAAAGCAATCTTTGGGCATGGTACACTGTCATCATCAAAGTGTCTCTTTTTGTTCTCCCTATTGTTTTCTTTTATATCTTATGCTATTATTCCCCCACCCCTCCCCATCCCCTCCCGAATCCCCCCTTTCAACCTTTTCGTCCTTGGTTTTTTTGTTTTTTTTCACAAATTCTCTAGTATTGTGAGAGCCTATCCATATATTTAATCTACGTATCCTTTTTTTTTAATTTTGTTATCAGCCTGGTTCAGGGAATCACTGTCTTAAATGTTAGTTTATTAGGTATTCCCAGATCTTGTAGGGTCCTTCAGCATACTTATCCAAGTATCCCTAGCCTCTATTTGGGTATATCTATTGCCTAGGTTTGCTAATATTCCTCTTTCCATTCTTGCTTGCCAGGCCACTTGCTTTGTCACTTCATCTATGTTTGGGATTCTCTCTGTTTTCCACTCTCTTGCGAGAAGTAACTTAGCCATCGTAACTATGTGTAGTATTATCATTAATATTTTCTGGGTCATTGTGGGCTAGTGTAGGTTTAGCAAAATCACTTCTGGCTTACAAGGCATTTTAATTCCTGTTAGTTGCTGAATTAACTTGATTATTTCTTTCCAAAATTGTTTGACAGGCGAGCAATGCCACCAGACGTGTGTCAAGTTCCCTTCAGTGGTTTTGCATTTCCAGCATTCACCGGATGTTGTGGGGAAAATCTTCTTCGGACGTTGGGGCGTTAGATGCCATCTATTTGATAACTTAAACTGGGTCTCAATTATGTTTAAGCAATGAATATTCTTATTCAATTTATTTAAGGAATTTTTCCATTGATGTACTTCTATATTCGTTTTTAGCTCTTTTCCCCATTTATTGATCACTTCTTTTGTTTTATCATGTCTCCAGCCATATATATTTTTTACACATTTAGTCATTAGGTTTTTATAATTCTTTAGTGCAAATAAATGTATAAGGCTTGTGTCCTCTTCATTGTTTGTATATATATGTTTTATTACAAAGCTTTGGATTCGTAAATAGTTAAACCTTTGGTTAGAGGAGATATTAAATCCAGTCATAATTTGGGAGAAGGATTTCAATTTGCCTTCTGCCATGATATCTCTATAATCCCCCACCCCTGTCTCAGACCATGAATCTATTCTTAGGTTTTCCAACATATCTTCAATAGTCGTGAAAGGGAGGGCAGTTATTTTATTTTTAAGGCCTTTCTTACTTGTAAATTTGCTCCACCATCTCGTCAGTTCTTCGAGTATTCGGGATTTGCTGGACGCCAGGTAACAAGCAATTTAAGAGTGTAAAAGGCTTCCTCTGCTTCAGGAGTTAAAGGGACACTAAAGTCACCTGAACAACTTTAGCTTAATGAAGCAGTTTTGGTGTATAGAACATGCCCCTGCAGCCTCACTGCTCAATCCTCTGTCATTTAGGAGTTAAATCCCCTTGTTTATGAACCTCCCTGCATGTGACTTGCACAGCCTTTCATAAACACTTCCTGTAAAGAGAGCCCTATTTAGGCTTTCTTTATTGCAAGTTCTGTTTAATTAGGATTTTCTTATCCCCTGCTATGTTAATAGCTTGCTAGACCCTGCAAGAGCCTCCTGTATGTGATTTAAAGTTCAATTTAGAGATTGAGATACAATTATTTAAGGTAAATTACATCTGTATCAATCATAGCCAGGGGAGGTGTGCATAAACAGAAACAAAGTGATTTAACTCCTAAATGACAGTGAATTGAGAAGTAAAATTGCAGGGGAATGATCTATACACTAAACCTGCTTTAGGTGAAATGAAAGGGTTCACGGGTGAGGCAATCATACTGGGGCTGCATGTAGATTGCTGCAGAGCGTAGCCATGGGCAACAATAGGAGACTAGGCCCAGAACTGTACGTAGTTGGGCTAAACTGCATGGAGGGTTAATCTTTTGAACTGCATGTTTTCTGTCTTCTGTGAGGTGTTTTGTACCATGGGAAATACAATGTCCTAAAAAGATAACAGTGGGAACACACGTCTGCAGTTTGGCCTTGGTAGCTCTGCACCTTGTTTGCGTTAGAAATTTTAGTAAAGACAGGGTGTGCTCTGTACATGATTTCTGATCTGGGCAACATAAAAGCAAATCATCAACATATTGTAACAACTTAACATCAACTGCTATTGGCCAAGCTTCTAGATAATTTGGGCCATTTCCATCCTATTCATGGTAGGTGAATTTTGAGCTCCTTGGGGCAAAACCGTCCATGTGTATTGTTTGTGTTTATGTGTAAATGCTAAAAGGAATTGACTGTCTGGGTGCAAGGGAATAGAGAAGAATGCATTTGCCAGGTCAATGACAGTAAAAAGTGAAGGTGGTTGGGGCAATTACACATGCCTGAAACAATTCCTGGATGGACTGAGAAATGGCGTCATCTTGTGCTGGCATAAGGGGGTACTGTTTCAGACAGGGAGGGGTGACTCCCGGTAGGAGAGTCACTTTGACTGGGGGCACAGAGATTCTGCCTGTGTCTTTCTTCCCTGTTGCCCATAGAGAGTTGGGGACTGAGGTCAATTAAATGGTAGGTTCTGTCACAGGTTTGGACAAAGTGAGGGTCACTAGTATATTAGCAAGGGGTATCAGGTGGTTGTCTTCTAGGGGCAGTGACAATGATACCTCTCCAGACTGTACTGAATGTTGGCATTAATAGCCGACAGAATATCACTGCCTATCAAATTGACAAGGGCATTAGGGCTGACAAGCGAGAGAAGTAGAGTCATGGAGTTTAAGCTTTATCTGGTGGGTTAGAGGGATTTCTGCAGGGCTCCCATCTACACCCACACATGATAACACATCATGGGATTTCTCATAGGGAAAGATATATTTCTCCTGCACAACAGAACGGACTGCCCCAGTGTCTAGCAGAAAAGGGACTATTCTATCTCCTGGTAATGTAACATTAACAGTAGGAGAGGGTCCATCTATGTCAGGAATAGTTAAAGCGTACAGGGACACTGGGTTGTCAATTTTCTATTGAGCCGTGGGTGGTGGAAGCTTAGTTTCATGAGAGTCGTCGGAATTGTTCTGCTGGTTCCTATTTTTAGGAGGACATTTACAGTTGCACTTAATATGTCCCTTCCTCCCACAATTCTAACACTCAACTTGTCTCCTTTCTGTACTTAAACTGGGGGCACTTAATGCCATAAGGGTGTAGTTCTTATCCTATTATTTAGGTTGGCGTCTACACCCATTGCTACTTTAACTAGGGAGCAATGGTCAAGGCTTGTCCAGTCTCGTCTAGCGTTTTGGAGACCTGTCCTTATGGCGGCATGGAGATCATCCATAAAACAATTTATCAAAAGTCGGGTGGAAGTCACCTCAGTTTCTGTATAGCCTAATGACCCCAAAGCTATCTGTTACCTGACAAAAAGAATTCTACAGATTCATCTTTTCCCTGTACAATGTCTCCTAATTTATGAGCTAACTCCTCGGTTTTTACCTTAGCCCAATCTTTAAGGGCAGTAACATAAGATTTCCCTGAAGCTGATTTAGATTTAAACCAGTAGTCAGTTTTTGGGGGTTGATTTCCCTTCTTTAAATCCTCTTCATTGACATCAGTATATTGTGCAATTAGTCATGTCAGGACAGGTCCTGCTTTGAGATCAAGTATTTGCTTTAAATCTGCCCCAGTGCACTGGTAGGTAGCTTTAATTGTGGGATTGAACTAAAGCTTTTTCCACATCTGGCAACTGTTGAATTCTAGCCAGTTGTTCACTTGGGATCCATGGTTTATACTCTAGGACCCTTGTTCTGTCCCTGTTTAACTTTAGTCTGTTTAGGGGTGCCTCCTGTTGTTCTCTCTTGTTCTGGTTCAGTGTCTCCAGGGTAATTTTAAGTTGTTCCACTATGTAGTACAACTGGAAAAAAGAATCTATGGGACTTGGTCACTTGATTGGGTCTCAGGGGGAATTAAAGATGTAAAGGGACCAAGAAAACCCACATCCTCTACATTTTTCCTCCCACCTGGGATTGGACCATTCACACCTAGGGCAAGTCCAATATGTCTTTTGGGTGACAGGGTTTGCGATAGACAAAGGGATTTGCTCTTTAGGGACCGACTTATGGACAGTTCCTTCCTTACTTCCTTAATCAAAACAAGACTATACAAACAGTGTTTAAACACTTAGGACCACTGCAGTGGAATTTTCACACTCGTTGTCTTCTTAATCTAGACACAAATCAGGAGATTTGCCTTGCAGGATTCTGATTCTAATTATAAAACAAATGACAAGGCAAACAATAAAGATAACTTAAACCCCATAGATATTTTCTACTATTCCTTCACAAGACCATCCACCTGAACATAATAAACCAAAGAAAACAAGTTCTTTAGGAGCAGACATTTTTAAATCCTTACTCACCTGGACATAGGACCCAGAGAGTACACTAGAGAGTGAATCAGTATAGGTAGAAAAATACTCTTTCTTACCCTCTGCAGCTGATAGGTTCACCGTTTATGACTCCGTAGTCTCCTGTATCTGTCCGGATGGGTCCGATTTTCTGCTCCCGGGTTTCGGCACTAAATTGTTGTGGATAAATAACCCAAAGTATGTTCAAGGGAAACCAGATTTGTTGTATCGAGCACTCGGAGAAGCAATAACACACACACACACGGTTTCTGAATCAAAGATTGCTTCTGCTTTAATTGGGAGAGCTTACTGATTATATAGAAAAATAGCTACGTGCAAGAAGAAATGGAGAACTAGCCATATTTACGAAGGTTACAACACAAAATTACTGGAAACTCGCTTCATAACAAGAAAAAGGGAGGGTGGAGAGGGCAGCTGCAAAGTTTCGCTGAAAGCTGCAAGGCATCATAACATTAAGGGGGAAAATGTGTGTGTGTGTGTGAAAACAGCTAAACTAGGGTAAAGTTTATCTTCACATATAAAGTGTATCATGATTCAAGTTAGCCAATTTTAAACAGAATAGATATCTGGTCATCTGTAGCTTGAGCTTTGGGCCAGAGTTGCCTTTCTTCACAGTTTGCATGGTCAGAGTATGTGAACATATGGATATATGTTTATGAATGCTGGGTTATGTGTGTGCACAGTCTGTAAATGCAGGGGTGTATATATACGGAGAGTGAATGTGCTTGAATGCAGGGGAGTTAGTGTGAATGAATACAATAATAATAACCACTACTAAGGCTGTTGTAGGTATAGGGGGCTGGGGTTAGTAGGGACTGTAGACGGGGTATGGTGCAGGGAGTATAGGGGATCTAGAGAGTGCCTAGTGGTAAGACCTGCAGTGGGTTTAGGGGGTAGGGGCTGTAGTGGGTGCAGGGGCTAATAGGGGATTCAGTGGGTGCAAGGGGGTATAGGGGATCTAGAGGGTGCCTGTGGGTAGGGGCTGTAAAGGGTGCAATGGGGTAGGGGCTGTAGTGGGTGCAGAGGGGTAGGTGCTGTAGCGTGTGCTGTGGATAGGGGCTTTAGAGGGGGCAAGGGGCTATAGAGGGGTAAGGGGTTGATAATGACTTTAAGGGGTAGAGGGGATAAGGGGAGTATGGGCTACAGGGGGTAGAGGCTGTAGTGGGTGCAGAGGGTATAGAGGATCTAGAGGGTGCCTGGGTGTAGGGGGCTGAAGTAAAGGAATGGGAAAATAGTGGCTGTACAGGGAGCAAGGGGGTATTGGCTGTAATTTGTGCAGGTTGGTAGGGGCTGTAGTGGGTGCAAGAGGTATAGGGATTTAGAGAGTGCCTGGGGGTATGCCTGCGCATTGGATGCTCTTGGACTTTCCAGCATGACAATGACCCTAAGCACAAGGCCAAGTTGACCCTATAATGGTTGCAGCAGAAAAAGGTGAAGGTTCTGGAGTGGCCATCATCAGAGTTTCCTGACCTTAATATCATTGAACCACTCTGGGGAGACGACCAAAGACTTTACATGACCTAGAAGCTTTTTGCCAAGACAAATGGACAGCTATACCACCTGCAAGAATTAGGGGCCTCATAGACAACTCTTACAAAAGACTGCATGCTGTCATTGATGCTAAAGGGGCCAATACACAGTTTTAAGAACTAAGGGCATGAAGAATTTTGAACAGGGGTCATTTCATTTTTTTCTTTGTTGTCATGTTTTGTTTTATGATGTGCCATTCTGTTATAACCAGATGAATATGAGTCCCATAAGAAATAAAAGCAATGTGTTTTGCCTGCTCACTCATGTTTTCTCGAATTTACCAATTCTCCAAGGGTATGCAAACTTTTAAACACAAATATGATGACATAAACACCTAAGAAATAAGACAACCATAATGCAATAATGAAGAATTAACCATTCTATCTGCTTCTGTACAAAAAAATCTTGCATCTCCAATATCACCTGCTTTATAACCTTATTACAAGAATAAAAGTCTCTGAACTAATTTAGTAGAACCTATGAATTTTGTAATCTGCAACACTGATGTTATTTTTGCATTAATTGTTAGGCGCTCTGGATAAAATAAATAAATCCTAGTAGCAATGTGAGGAGAGCATGGGTCTTTTGGATACTGAAGAGGTGAAAGCCACTGATGGAGGTAACAATGTCTATATGTTTCTTAACTTGTCAAATATAACACCTGGGTTGTGAGCTGTGGGTGAGGGTAAAATGATCAGCAGATTATAGGGAATCGAACTAATCATGAAAAAGCAGCCTAGCTAGGGTCATATTGCACAAAACAATCTAATAAGCCAAGTCATAACCAGTAAATACACAAATATTAACATTGCACTTAATGGTCACAAAGCTCCTCAAAAAAGGCCCGTGTCCGAAATGGTTTCAGGTTTACATAAGTTCAGGACTCGTAAGGGATTCAACAATGCAAGTGTACATGTATGCGTGAGATTCTGCATAGCTGAACTGATCTGAGAAGGTTCATCTAGAAAGTGAGGCATTGTTAGAGGAGCAAATACAAAAAAAAAGACCTGCACTCAAACTCCCATTACTCCTGGGCGGCAGCAATGACCATAGTACACATCAGCCCAAATACATACAGTAAAAACCAAAGAAAAGAAAGTTACCTGCGCTCTTTCCCAAATCCCTATCTATATTTAAACAAATTTAGGTTTTTTGTTACCTCCAATGGCCATGGGAGGGTATGCCCAAATGCCACGTCAAGGTAGACCACTTAGGTGGGTCCTAACCATTCACCTTCCTTCTTTGAGCCTCTGGCAAAAATATCTCTAATGAGACAGAAAGAGGTAATTTTTATATCCACCCCTACATACTTATTAACCCTTAATAGGGAACACAATGGATGGGCAGCAGCATTGTAACCTAGCTGTGTAGAGGAGCAACTTTAAATATGGTGGCAGTGGCATGCAGACCACGAACAATGTGATCAATTAGAATTGTGACAGCCCAGAAATCAGCAACCTGGGCTCATTATAAATCCTCTTCAGTGGTCTGGTGTTTTAAGGATTGCATATTCGGTGGTTCTGTCACACTTCAGACGATTGGATTATTCAGATGTTAAAGATTCTTATATAAACATTATTTTTACACAGAATATCACAATCCCAATAGGAATATCAGTGAGACATGTTAATGTTTTATATATATGCAGTCCCAAATATTAATGCATAACATATTTTGTTAAATGTCTGTTTGCTTTTGCCTTTAGTGCATAAACTTTTTTTTATTTTTATTTTTTTTATTTTAGGGGACATTTTGTCAAGGTTATTCGTGGATGGAATTTGAAGCAGTGTTCCAATTTCCAGGCTTGAAGACTCAATTCCATGTTGGCTATAATGGTCTTACAATTTGTTTCTCACTAAATGTTATATTCAATGAATTAAAGTCAGAAAGGAAAAACTGAGGCTAAAGATGTGACTATAGTCAGCTTAGTGTTTTTTTCCAGACTATTTTTTTTATTTATTTTTTATATGAAACAGTAAATAACATGAAAGTCATATCTTCCTGATAACAGGAACAGTCAATCAGCATCCTTTCCACAGCATAATAGGCAGGAACCAGTAAACTACTTCCTCTTTCTTTGCTGCTCCCTCAGTTAAGTAGAACCTACGTCCCATGGTTCTCATACTGTGGAATCTATTTTACCTATTGTCTCATTTAACGTATTAAATTACTTATTATTTGTACAGTGTTTGATATATCTTGTTGTTAGTTTCTTTAATTTATTTATATTTGTAATTTTTTATATTGGTACACAGCGCTGTGTTGCTGCCCCTGCTGCTTCCCTGCTGTTAGGGGCAGCTTGAGTATAGCTGACAACATTTTTTACAACGTATTTTATGTTGTACTTTTATGGCTTAATTCCTCATTCTTTAACCCCTTAAGGACCAAACTTCTGGAATAAAAGGGAATCATGACATGTCACACGTCATGTGTCCTTAAGGGGTTAAGCTTCTATTTACACTCAACACACATGGTTTGCAGGTTTTCCCATGCTCCCTGTTCACTCCCTCCCTTCTGAGGCCTTTGTCATCCTAGATCGGCAGAATAGACACCTTCCGATCATGTGGCACGCTATATTGTTGCCAGGCAGTGTTAATTTAATTGATTAACAATAGTGATGTCCCAAACGGTTCGCTGAACGGTTCACCGCGGTTCCCACGAACGGTTCGCCGCGGACTCCAGTCAGCAGACACATTCCAGCCAATCAGCAGCAGACCCTCCCTCCCAGACCCTTCCACCTCAAGGACAGCTCACTAAGAATGCAGCTTCAAAATGGATGCTGTCCAGGAGGTGGGAGAGTCTGGGAGGGAGGGTCTGCTGCTGATTGGCTGGAATGTGTCTGCTGACTGGAGTCCGCGGCGAACCGTTCGTGGGAACCGTGGCGAACCGTTCGGCGAACCGTTCGGGACATCACTAATTGACAATTTTAGTCAGATTTAGTCAACTAACAATTTTGGAGGTTTAGCTTACGAAACCTAGAGTAGAACTTAAAAATTCAGATGACTAAAATACAACTAAAACTCAAATGGCTTTTAGTCAAAAGACTATGGCTAAAAGTAAATTTAGATTTGCCACCAAAATTAACACTGGCAGGTAAGACACATGGGGGAGGGAGGAGAGGAAATGAGACACATGGGGGCTGAACGAATGATACACATTGGAGCTTGGGTATTTAGACACATGAGGGGGGCTGGGAGAATGAGACACATGGGGGGCTGAAGAATCAGACACATGAGGGGCTGGGAGAATCAGACAAATGGGGAGGTGAGAAAATAAGACACATTGAGGGACTTGGGGGAGCAATTGAAACACATAGGGCCTGGGAGAATGAGACACATGGGGCAGATGAGATGCATTGAGGGGCTGGAGGACACACATAGCAACATAGAGAGGCTGGAGGAGAAAGAGAAGAGGTGCTGGGGGAAGAGACACACAAATGGGGCTGTGGAGAGAGACACACAGAGGGGATGGAAGAGAGGAAAACAAGCCATAGAGAGGTTGGGGAATGTGCAAAATAGACAGACAGAGGAAGGGGCAATAGAGACAGACATGGGAGAAACCCAGAGGGGATGGGGAGACACAAAGAGATACAGAGGGGCTGGGGAAGAAGCAAAAGAGAAAGATAGAGGCTTCAATTAAAACTATTTGATCTTAGTCGTGTCAACCAAAATGTACTGGAGATTTAGTTGACTAAAACTAAAACAATTCAGATGACTAAAATATGATTAAAACTAAAATGACTTTTTAGTCAAAAGACTATGACTAAAACTGAATTGAAATTTGCCATCAAAATTAACACTACTGCCAGGGTCTGCAAACCTCTTCAGAATGTGACCTGTAATGAACTGCAGGCAGAATGCCCATGATCCACAGTTCCAGACGAGGTATGCAGAGCCCCTCAGGTCGATCTGAAGATCTCCAGTTTCTGGGCAAATCCAACTGGACGCACAGGATGGGTTTGAATTTCTCCATTCAGAACTGCCAGAGCAAGATCCTGGATATTTTGGGATGGGCTACAAAAATCTTTGAGGTGTGGAAATGTCACCGGCTAATGATCAGATGCTGGATAGGCTCACCAGAGGGTGGATCCAGCGCTTGATTTGCCTAGTGGGCAATGTCAATACTGCACTGGCCACTGAAATTCACAAATCCATTTTGAAAGAATTGAAATTAGAATTGAAATTGGTTAACTTGGCTCTGAATGAACCAAGCGCTCAAGCCAATGGTTTTTTTATTTTTGGAGACTCCTTCTTTAAGAATGTAGGGTCTTATGTGCAAACATTCACAGCCCTAGATATAGCTAAGCCCAAAAACCCTAAGATTTTTGCTGAGGCTGGAAGCCGTCTGTCCGTCCATTTTCCAAGAGGTTCTCTTAGGCAGAAACTAGGTTCCTACACAGGACATTCCAGCTTCCCTGACCAAAGGTCCACACCGACCTTCTTTCCACAATGTGGCAGGCCATGGATTGCTCGAGGCACAGGAGTTGCTCCTTCGGGATGATGCCCTTATGGTAAGTGTTTTCCATCACCATTCTTCTCTACTAGCAGGGGAAGTCAGACTCACCAATTTTTGCCATGCATGGTCCCTAATTTTTTCAGATGCCTGGGTTTTCCAAGCTATACACGGTTATTGCATAGAGTTTGTTTTTCTACATGTACAATGTTCTCCTCTGAGGGAATTAGTTTTTTACCATCAGTACAAAGTTCTTGTCTCTGGGGAGTTCAAAGATTTGATGCGCAAACATGCTATCACCTGAAAATCTGGTCCATACTGCGGGTTACAGCAATTTCTTCTTGGCTTTCAAAAAAGGAGAAGGTGTTTGACCATGATAAACCCCTTAAGGACCAAATTCTGGAATAAAAGGGAATCATGACATGTCACACATGTTATGTGTCCTTAAGGGGTTAAAACAACTCAACAGTTACATGACCTACCATCATTTCAAGATGGAAGGTGTGCATTGTTTATGGGATTTACTCCAGCTGTCAGATTGGATGGCCAAGTTGGATCTGCAAGTTGCCTACCTCACGGTACCTGTTGCAGATTGCCATCAAGATTTCCTACAATTCATGTGGCAAGGGGAAAAAAATTTAGATTTTAATGCCTGCCGTTCAAGCTATTCTCTGCCCCATGGTGCTTTACCAAAATCATGAAGCCTGTAGTCACCCTTCTACAAAGTCAAATAGTGTGTCTTATTGTTTACTTAGATTATATCTAATTCTTGCTCAGTCCATCTGACTTGTCCAAGAGCATCTAGCTTGGATTTTGACTTTATTGCAAAACCTAGGGTTCCTTATCAATTGGGAGAATTCCATCCTAATCCCCATGGAACACATCAGGTTCCTGGACATCATGGTTGACTACACCCTCCAGATTCTTCACCTTCCTTTGACAAAATAATCAAACTTTAAAAGATCATACGCACACTGTGGCCACCCGACTCTCTCTCTCAAACACCTGGCATGAATAATCTGCCTTCTGGCTGCCTATATCCAGGCTATATTACCAACCCCCCTTCATAATTAGGTTCTTCAATTATTGCAACCCTCTTACCTCAGGGAAAGCACATCTTACAAGGATATGGTGACTCTGGACACCTAAGAACGGAACAAACTCCAATGGTGGCTCCTTTATATAGAAGCATGGAATGGATGCGCCATATTTGGTTCAGCTCCAGATCTAGTCATAGAGCCCTACATGAGCTTATATGGTTGCAGTGCTTGCTGCGGAGACCTTGCCACAGGAGGCACGTGGTCAGATGTGGAATCGACACTTCACATCAATTGCCTGAAATTTTTGTTAGGGTCCTTCGTGATCTGAAATCTGAAATAGGAGGTATGAAATCCAAGGTTCTGATGAATATGGCTTGATATTTTTGCCTGACTCACGACATCTCAGTTACAGCGCAAAATATCCTCTGTCTCTCCAATACTACGGCTGACTGGTATTCCTGACATCTTAAAGATTCCAGAGGTTTTCAAGGCAATCTACAACACTTGCATGCGGATCATTTCACTTTGCGCTTGAATACCCAGCTTACCTATTTTCTTAGCTGGAGGCCAGATCCACAAGCACTAGAATGCTTTTTGCAAGATTGGTATACGAACGTGAATTACACATTTCCTCTGTTTGCGCTCATCCTTCGTAACCTTCTACATTTACACCGGCACTTTGGTGATTCTGACCTCTCTGTGGCCATTCTAACCATGGTTTCCTCTTCTATTGGAGATGGCAATCAATTCTCCACGTCTTCTCCAATCCCTCGATTACCTCCGCTGAGATCCAGATGGTCAGTTTCATCCCCTGATCCTCCAGGGCTTGTTACGCCTCATAGTGTGGTTAATTTCAGGGTACAATGGACTATCGAGAGAGTTTTACAGACTTCTCGAGGGAGCATAAGCACCTGGCATGAGACAGGCTTATCAATCTGCTTGGGGCACATATTCTAATTGGTGCCTGGAACAGAATATGGTTTCCTAACAGCTCCTTTGACGTATATTCTACAATTTTTTGACTTCCCTCCTTGCAACGTGAATGATCACAGATCGGTTGATTCTACCTATTCTGCTTGTCGCCCCTTATAACGTTTCTCTTGTCTTGCAATTTCCCAACGGCTGGCCGGATAATTCTGTGTTGTCTCTTAAACAACTTTCTGCCAAATTGGTCATGTTATTTTGTTTGATCTCTTGTAAGAGGGTCTTGGATGTCCAAGCACTGGACTCCACTGCTTATTTGTTTACCCCACAAAGGGTACTTTTTGCCATATCTCGGAGAACTAAAACTTCCTCAACATCAGTGATATATCCTGCTTTCCCTAGGAAACCTCAGCTTTGTCCGGTTGCTTGCTTATGTGAGTATGAAGTTCACCCCTCTCAACCTCATCTTTTTATTTCTTTGCGCAAACCTCATTTGCCAGTGTCTACCCCTACCTTGGCCTGATGGTTCAAATGGATTATGTCTCTGGTGGGTATTAATATCTGTTTTTTCAGCCCATTCGGTTCGTGGGGCTAGGGCATCTAAGGATTCTTTGCTTGGTTGCCGTTTGGAAGATATATTGAGAGTGGCCAACTTGTCTCAGAGTCTACATTTCGTGATTTCTATTTTTGGCTTTAACCCCTTAAGGACACATGACATATGTGACATGTCATGATTCCCTTTTATTCCAGTTTGGCCCTTAAGGGGTTAAACTAGCATAATATGAGCCTCTGTGTCTTTAATAAAATTCCCAGCTTTTACTATTAACATAATGTAAAGTCATGATTTTATTTATAAGAACAAAGTAGTCCAGGCACTCAAGGTCTTCATAAAGCAGCAGATTTATTGTCAAAACATGACAAAAACAGCAATGTTTCGATCCCCTGTGGGACCTTTATCAAGTTTCCTGTCAATGAAGAGAAAATGGAAGGTTTTAGGCTTTTAAAAGAATACAATAAGGAAATGTGATTCAAAATAAGGCTGAGAAATATGGCAATTGTATTTCTTTAAGGGTTCAATCGAGGCTAATTTTGTTCCAAAGTTTTTTTAATTTGTGCCCTTGGTTTTCATATGTTATGAGATGCCTTCTACTTTTCTATAAAGTGATACCCTAGGTTAGGATTAGGCAACACTCCAGACGCTCTTGACTATATCTCCCCTGATGCTTTGCCAACATGGCAGTGAGAGCATTAGGGAAGATCTAGTCCACAACATGTAGAGTGATGAAGGTTACCTACCCCTGCCTTAGTTTGTATATACGGCTTTAATATCCTTGCTATAGGATGTCAGAATATGATCAGTGATGCACTGAACCTTCATATGGCTTTCACTTAAAGCATTTTCATCCCTGCTTCCAATACATCTGCA